TTCGAGTTAGCTTAGTCAAATGTGTTCCTTTAAGCTCAGATGGACTGTATGTAAGAAACGCGACTTCTTTCATTTTTGATTTTCCCTGTTGTCAATAACCTTCAATCTCTTTGAAGATCGCTCTCCAATTTCGAGTTAAAAAAGTTTGATGAACATATGGATTCTTTAACGCTCACGCTCGGGACATATCTGACTTCGGAACCATTCTATGTTTCACACAAGTCCAGATTGGCAGTTATTTTGACTAGCACGGAAATGACCTTACCACATTTGCATATGCACCTGGACATGCGCCTTCGCATTTATTGGAATATTATGTGAATAAAGGGTGAACACACCAAAACTGCGACACTTTGGGAAGCTTATAACTTACCCAAAACGAATTCAATATTTTGAAATTCAAATACCATAAGCTGACCACATGACCTTAGTTGGACGTAGAAGAAATTTCATTTGAATTTGAGTCCTAGTTGAGTTAAAAATGGCAACCGAGTTAGAAACGAGACAAACCATTTTGCACGAGTTTATAAATGATCCGGCCTTAAGTACACGTAAAATTGCTAAAAAGTTAAAGATTGCACTATTCGACAGTTTGCAGGGTTTTAATCGGTACAAATAAGGCCTGGCAGTTACAAGAAAACCAGGGAGCGGTGGTTAGCATGGTCAAAGTGATAAAAACAGTGCTCGGAAGGTCCTCAGTGCGTTTTCGCGAAATCCGAAGATTTTGTCGCGTTATGTTGCAAAATCCGTACGCAGATCGCAGTTTTTCGTACAAAAGGTAAAGCGGAAAGCTTCATTGAGATGTTCTACAGCTCAAACAGCGTCAGACCGAGGCGCAAAGTAGAATGTTACGGCGAAATCCCGCACTCGGAAGTTGTATGAATTCTAAATTAAAAAATACAACTGTATTGTTAAGGACTACGAAATCTACTGCTATAAAAATTCAAAATATATTGCAGGTCAAGATTTTTATACTGGTGCAAGTAGTCAAGATGCCCCTGAAAGTTGTAAGCTGAAAATGAAGTCCAAATTTCCAAAAAACCACATGGTTTGGCAAGCTATTTGATCCTGTGCCCGTAAGAGCAGCCCTTTTTTCCCATCCGGGACAATGAATGATCAAGTTTATCGGGATGAGTGCCTCAAAAGGCGTCTTCTGTCATTTATCAACAGATAAGGAGTGGGCCACTGTTCTAGGCGGACGTGGGAACCTGCCACTATGCCAAGAACACATTGCCGTGGTATAATGCAAATAACATCAATTTTGTACCTCATGACTGCAATCCATCCAATAGCCCAGAGCCACGTCCTATTGGGGAATATTGGTCAATTGTCAAAGAAATCTTGAAGAAAACAGGTGAAACAGTGAAAAATATTGAAGAGTGCAAAACAAAGTAGTTGTGCGCATCGCGTAAAGTCGATGATGCAGTCGTGCAGAACAAGATGGCGCGTGTGCGATGAAAATACCGATCATTTGCATATGGAGCAAATGATAATTAATATTTTAACATTTTAATAACATCTAAACTTCCAAGTTATATAATACAAAAAAAAAATTATTTCAAAGTCTGCTAGTTTGTTTCTGGTAGTATTTTCTAAGTGTCGCAGTTTTGGTGTGTTCACCCTTTATTAAACAATCAAATTTATCAACTTTACAAAATTTTATAATTTTTATCTTGCAACTAAATTTAAGGAAATATCCCGCCCAGGGGAAACACCCCATGTATACAATATACATACTTGTATATATGTCAATATAAATAATCATTCATATAGCACCTTATAAATATAACAAATACGAAAATTTCGGCTGAAAATCGAAAAAACAACCATTTTGAAATTGGCACTTACCACGATTTTGAGCTTCGCGTATTCTGACTCGGGAACATCCACCCAAAATAGTCTAATTGAAAATTCCATCGTTCTAGACCGATTCAGTTGAATCTGGTTCAAGAACACCGTGTGCAATGAATGGCCGCAATTACTTGAGCATATCAGTCCCTAACGGAGTCTTGCCCTTACTTCCGCCGTTTTCTATTACTTCTGCTAAAGCTTATCACTGGGGTCAAGCTTCAATATGGAGGGATCGTACTGAATTTAATAAAATCTCGAAGATTTTAAATATTGGATTTTCCGCTAATAGGCAGTCATTTAGAAGTTTAACTGAAACTACCTATGTATTTGTAGCTTAGTTTTTTCACCGTAATCATTTTTATAATCATAGGCTTAATAAACACTCCACGCCCTCTAAAATATATGTAGCTAACTTTGAATTTTCGAAAATTAGCGTTCAAAGATTGCGCAATGCGTATATCGGTTTTGATATATGTAGATTAGTAAGTGGTATTCCATAAGAAAAATAGTTTTTAAATTTACTGAATGGAAGCCCCTCACAGTCTAAGTGCCGTTTTCTCATGTAGGTTTTAAAATTTATCTGCCCTTCAAACCCATACTGCTGTAATCCGAATGTTCGTAGTTACGAATTCGTAGCTCCGTTCCGAAAATTGGAAAATTTATATGCTGTAATCTGACTGTAACTATCAGCGGCACTACCAGCTAAAAACGTGAAAATGAAGAACAGCTAACAGTTACATTAATATACAAAGGAGATTGTTCTGATCCATTTAGCTTAACCCTTCGGAGGGAGCGCTATGAAAGTTAGACGAGAGAGCTCGCCGCGGCAATTTAGCCGCAAGGTGTATCTCAAAGGTTGACTGCATTTTTTCTTATTTATATCGAAAAATCACTCAAATAAATCATTTGAATGATTTGTATTTATACTGAAACATATTATAAGCATTTACTTTTTAAATTTTTAAGCGCCATCATCAACAGTGGTGTTGGTACATTCTACACATTGTGAAATATGCTTGCAATGTTTTCTGCAAACATTTTTGTTACAATTAATACAACAAATTTTTTTCTTATTATTCCTGGAACATATTCTTGGTTTAAATTTTTGTTGCGTAGCTGGTACGCTTCTATATAAGTTTAAAAACATCTCCTTTTTTGTTATTGTTGTTTCCGAAAGAACGAAAATGACACTGAAGATGGCAAAACGCCGAAACCGGTTTGTCCCCGAACCAAATTTGACAAGGGATACATTATTTAAAAACATCCTTTTTTTCTAAAACTTAAGAAAATGAATATCATAATAGTTACAATGTGTACACAAAGTACACGCACATTATAATTTTCAAATTACATATGACAGAATACTTAAAAAATAATGTGATTTAGACCCTTATCACAAACTCACTTTTTCAACTATCTTTAAAAAAATTCGCGAGTTACATTAAAATTTTTTTGGTACACGGAAGGGCGCGACGCGGCAATTCATCCGCATATATTAGACACCAACTTTCACATACAAATATCAACTGAATATATAATGCAGCAAGTAATAGCTAACTGTGGACCATGCTGAATCTCAAAACTTACAAAGTCACTAAGTGGCAGTGGCCGGCTACTACAATTAGTATTTGAAAACCACAAATTACAATTTTTGCTTATTTGCCGCGGTGCGCCCTGCGAAGGGATAAATGACAAAATGCAAGTTCCCTCCTTTTAAGGGTCTCCATTTCACTAGATATTGTGCCGCTTTAATTCTTGCAACGCTTTCCGAAAATTAGCCTACATCCTCTTTAGCTCCTTTTACAAAGCCTTGAGCGATTTGTTGTGATCTTCGACCTGATAATTTTGTAAACATTTAATAATAATTTTTTTTTCTATTCACACTTCAACTTACATACATATTTTTGCGTTTACACACTTTATTTCATTGATATTTTAAAACAATTTGTTTTGCTCTGACACGAGTTGCTATTCGTACAAAATTTCCGAAAAATACATATAAATGATATCTACGTTGGATTCAGGTATACCAACATTACGAATTTCGAAGATGGCCTACGATACGACAACGCGGATTTCAGCATATCAATTTTACTATTCGTAGCAAAATCGAATTTACGACGGATTACAGCATAGGGGTGATATTGTCAGAACAAAATTTGTGTTTAACGGGCAGATAAATTTTAAAACCTACATGAGAAAACGGCTCTACATCTAACAGTGGATCCTATTTAAGTAAGAGGTCTGCAATCAAAAAAAGCAATTCCTTCGTTTTTAGTCATAGGACCCAACATATATATGTATATTCATAAATCATTTTGATCGTATTTTTAAAACGTATGTGATTTTTAAAATTGGATGAAAACTAATTAATCTATTACTAAAGAAGTGCGTCAAGGTACGAAGATAACTGGAGGTATTAGAAAAGGTAGCATGCTTTCCCGCATACAAGTGAAAATTTCAAACAGCATATATAATTTTTATTTTAGTACCGTACTGGCAGAGAAAAAAGTAAGTTAATGGAAAAGGAAACTTGGCACCTCCCATATAAACTCAAATTATGATGACACATACCGCTGGAAGCATATAGCTAGAACTCTGACATGCGCTACTTCATCAATATCGCATTAATGAATTAGAGTTCGAAATATTAAATTACGGGCACGAAACCACCAGAAAAGTTATATGTATATTATGTAGTTTCATATGTATTACGATAAGGACGTCTACCAAGCACACGATATTAAAATTCCATAATTTTAACCTCCCTAATAGCTTATTTCCAGCAGAGGCTTAATTGCAGTTAACAGATAAGTTCCAAGAATTTCAACGTAGGGTGAGCGGCAAGGTTTATTTCTTAGTGTTTGCTTTCCTCCTTTTGTTTGCTTGTACTTAGTAGGAGGATTTACCCCCTTCGAGTTGTAATCTTCTTGTTCCAATAGGCATAAACAGCAGTTAAGACTTAGTAGAAATGAACTATGAGTATCTTAACTCGTTTGTAATTATACAGATTAAGAAAAAGGAGAGTACAAATAAAAATGTATAAAATATTTAACTTAATTTACATATACGTATGTAATATGTATATAAAACGTAGGGTGAAACACATGGCCATAAACTAGTTGACAATAAGTTACACTTCGTCTTACCTGTCAAATATTCTTGCTTCTTTAAGGACATTTCCCAAATTGATATAGGCATCAAGAAAGTTAGGGTCCAAGGTGACAGCTTTTTCAAAGTGATGTATTGCCAACCAAATTTCGCCTTGGGCATTAAAAACACATCCTAAATTACTCCAAGCCACAGCAAATCCTGGGCATGTTTCAATTGCTTTTAAATAGCAAGCCTAAAAAGAGTTTAGGTTAGATATTTCTTATAATCATATACGATAAAAACAAATTCAAAAATTACATTTAGCATAACCTATATAACATATGTAACTTATATACACCAGAGAACTGTAATAAGGACTTTTGGAGATCCTTATATTGCCAGATTATTCGCTTTTAACTTTAGTTATTGCACCTGCGTGTATGCGTGCAAAATGCATTTACTTATGTATTTAAGTATATATATTATTGTGTATCGATTCATATACAATGCATTCGAACAAATCGTTGGCTTAGTGTACAAGCATGCTAAGTCCACTTTTTATAAAAATTGAGATTTTAGTGCAGCAAGATAGCACAAGGGAGAGCCTCAATATTGAAATGCCCAAACACGGAATCTCCACTCTTTTTTGGAGACAGTGTCACATAATGCCCAAAACATAAAATCCCCAAAACACAAAAACACGAAAACCCCAAACTTTTGAATAAATGATATTACCGATCATAAAACCAGTAGCGCAAGCCGACTCTTACCTTTGTTCTGATTCGTAGTTGTGTACATACACCCGATTTACACGTTTCAACTACCTGAAAGCAATTCTTGTTCATTATCTTTTGTCTTTTAGACTTGCTTTAGTTTTTTGAATTTAAGTTGTTCGTTCTTTTCGTGGGAAATAACGAAAATGTCAAAAGCAAAGCCAAAAACTTTCTTGACGGTACTCTTTCCCTTTTCCTCCCTCCGCGTCTCTTCGATATCAGAATTGAATTCAAACATTAACCCATGGTGCAATAAACAAGCGAAGTAATAAATCCGATATATCGATTTATTTTATGTCAATCGAATATCGTATAAAGAATTTTTAAGACAATTTTCAAATAACATAGTGTAAAATAAATATAAATCCTTCTTCTCGATCTTATTACTTCACCTGGTACAATTTCACCATGACTTGAACCGTGTAAAACCGTCATACATATTATCAATTTATGACCATATTTATATACATATATTTATGTGCGCACATGTATGTACATGTACACCGTTACGTTATAACTGATTATTTCGTTATTATCATTTATAACCTATATGAGATCTATATCCCACAATATTTCACTTTGCATTTAAAATTTGTATTTGTGTTTTCATCTTTAGCTTTAAACTATTCTGATAAAGAAATATTAGGGCTGTTCACGATCTTGTGCATATGTTCTTATATTTGCATATTCGTGACATTTGTAAATTCGCAACAATAAAATGCACACGGTTGTCATGGCAGCAAGCATAAAATTTGCAAATCCAAGGCCATTTCCACAACAGCCTTTTGCAATTTTGCATTTATGTTTTATGTAAATGTCTTGAAGGATGAATTTTTGATTAAGATGTACTACATTTTCTTTAACCTAATAAATATTTGTGAATTCATTACACAATTCGTTTTGAATTTTAGTTCGAGAAATAATGTCGAATCATAATTTTCTGTGTGAAATACATTCAAATTAATTTGATGTCCAATCGACATGTTTGGTCTTGTAGAGTGTGTCCAGAAAATATATTCAAGCTTCGTAAACGATTAACCGGATTCTTAAAAATTAGGCTAAAGTGTTGCGAAACAAAAAACGTTTTTTTGCTTTTGCCGGTTTAAGGGGGCATGTGGGCACACCCAACATATTTAGTGTTATTCTATAGGCCAATACCTTTCAAACGATACCTTATATATTAAGTTCCGGCCACTAGTTGGAATGATATAGAGGTAAATGTGTTTTGGTTCGTGTCTCCACTACGAGATGCTTCGGTATGTATGTGGCGTCTGTACGTACCATCATTTAATTTTTTTTTTCAAACTTTCAGGAATTAAAGTACACAAAAAACTAAGAAGGTTTTGTTCCAGGATGTTTTGATTCGTATGCCTGTGTGGGCGTGGCTGCTGCCTGAAATTCGAAAAAAGGCAATTTTTTAAACTACAAGTGAGGCCGCACTACTCACTCCATGTCATTGATGTGGATATCAGTAGAAGGGTCTTCAAACAAGCTATCTAACGCTATCTTTTGTGTTTATAAAATATAAATACGCCATAACGTTCTCGCCTGAAAACTAAAAATCGGGCTGCTGAAAATAGAGATTTCGGGCATTTTCTCAAAAACTGGTCAGTCGATTTTATTCTAGGTTTCCACAAGTCTAGCCCAAAACCTTAGCTTTCATCTGGTATATAGTTTATATCTGGGAAAACTCTTGTTGTGGAGATATTGCTATTCAAATTGAAAAAATGTCGCTCCAAAAAGGGTCAAATGGTTAAAAAATTAACATATCCGTCTAATTTGGTTATTTTATGATATAAAAATAACATACCCAGTTCCCCGAAAAAAATCGCCCATTCCCCGATTGCCACTTAAACCGAAATTCCCTGCAAATCGGGGAATTTCCCGCGAGTTGACAAGTTTAAGGATACAGCTGTGCTAATCACTTCGTACATGTCTTGGAAACCACAATTTGTGTATATTTTCGAGTTTTTTTCAGTCATATGCCGAAATTGTAACATTCTTCCCCATTTTAATTGCAGGTATGTACACAGTATTTGACTATGCTACATGGGTTTATCACCCGCACTAAACCTACCTGGTATTTACCTATAGTTGTACATAAATATGTATGTATGAATGCATTAAGTTCACCCAATGTGCCGCTACTACTTACATACATATGTATAAATTGCCACTGAGCAAAACTACTTGAGACAAAATCATTAGTTTAATAGCACGAGTGCAACACCGTAAACGTGATAGAAGTAAAACTTCTTTAAAAAAAGCACATGTGTGCGCCCACACCCAGTAGAAATCTTAACAACAATTAAACTACGAGGCAATCAGACGAATACAGTTGTTTATTGTATCCAAAGTTGGTACCAAGTTGATAAGTTTTTATCATTTCTCATATTTATTTTTATTTTTAATTTTTTCGAATACATATCATCCTTGATATCATCATATCCTTGATCATCCTTTTTCGCTTTATTCCGTATTCGAAAAACTATGTGTTTCAATGGACACATCGATTTGAATACATAATTTAGATTTAGAGAATATTTTTAGCAATTTATTTGAGAAAAATAAAATATTTAGTATATTGTTTGTATTTTCGTCGATTTTAAGTTTGCTACCCCAAAATAACTGATATCAAATAAAACACCTCTTTGATGTAAAATTTTCGAGTGACGAAAGCTGAACTAGAAACACAAAATTTATGATATCAATTTCGTGACGAAAATTATACGAATTTTTTAACTGCCTTTCTAACGTACGGAAAATCTTTTTTTATTTATTCGGAACGCTGCGAATTTCCGTTTACTGCTAGAAACACAATTAAAAAAAAAACAGAACTTTTGCAACGATTCGTATGAATAAAAAAGATTTTCCGTACGTTTGAAAGGCAGTTAAAAAATGCGTATAATTTTCGTCACGAAATTGATATCATAAATTTTGTGTTTCTAGTCGTCACTCGAAAGTTTTACCTCAAAGAGGTGTTTTATATATAACAACAACAGAAATGTAAATCATTCAGACACTATAGGTGATTTTGAAGAAATTGTGGAAATAGCTGATCTCGCCTTATTAAAGGTTTTTATTTAATTTTAAGCGCCGAGCTCTTAAAAGCGGATTGTAAATTTAATAATTACGCAGTTCTATTGCAAAATGTGTTGAAACAAATATTTTTAAAAGGTATGCGTATTTTTAAAGAAAATTGTTTGTACATCACTATTATATAAGTGATTTTTGTTAATTATTATTACGCTCTGAAGGTATTATATTCGTTTTTGGTTTTAAAAACTATATTATAACAAGATCTCATTTTTAAAATAAAAGATTTGTTAAATCGATTTCATGAATTTTATAACAAAAAAAATTGGCGATTTCTGAAATTGCGCTTTTTTTAAACAATCTGGACACCTTGATCCCGATAGAGTCAGAGTGGAATTGGAACTTCATAAAGTTTGGGGAGACGCCTACAAGTAAATGACGAGGTATACATATCTACGAAAATGTGTATGTGTATTTCTTAAGCAAACGAGCGGACAATTTTTGCAAAGCGCAAACGACACGGACAGCAAACGGCGCAACGAAGTAATTTTTGGGAGAAGTCTCAACGGTGCGACGGTGAAATACTCAACGATACATACACACAGAATACAGCACAAACGTTCAAAAATACATACGTACAAACATCAGAAGTCTACCACGCAAAGGTGCACGAATTTTCAAAACGGCGTAATAAAGAATTCGTTGCAACCAACTGTAGCAACGGCAAAGCAAACGACTCAGCGGTGCCAAGTTACAAAAACAACGAAACAACAAAGTAAAGCAGTGTTTGCATTATTCAACTTTGCGTTCAACAATTGCGTTCAACTCAACGCAGGGTTGCACGAAAAAAAAGTTGAATGGCTAAATGTTGGCTGGCGACCAACTTTGTTGAAAGCGATTAGTTGAAAGGCCATTCAACCAAAAGTTGAATGCAAAGTTGAACAATGCAAACACCTTTTTATGGCGAATATTTTGATATTTTTTCATATTTTGATACTTTTAGCCATTCAACTTTTTTTTCGTGCAACCCTGCGCTGAGTTGAACGCAAATGTTGAACGCAAAGTTGAACAATGCAAACACACTTTAAGCTACAACGTTCAGTAGCTAGCACAGCAAACAAGCGCAAAGCTTATTAGCAGAGTAAAACAAAGGGAAAAGCCGATATTCATTCAATGTTTAAGAGTGAAGACGTAAACACGACCGAGAAAAGGAATTTTAAGATGTTGAAGCTAACTGCGCTAAAGGTTGCTCAACTAAACGAATTACTACGAGCTCATGGTGCAACAACGACTGGGACTAAGGCCCACAAAGTTGCGAAGCTACAGAAATTACTGGGAACTGATGAAATCGATTCATCCGAGCTAGAAGAAACTGCTACTGATGAGCTGCAAACACAAATCAACGGGCTGAAAGCAGTGATGGTGAATTTGACGGCGGCGATCAGCGCAATGAATACAGGAGTGCAAGGCAGTCGCAACGAACAAACGCTTGTAAGTAAAGAAAATGAAATACAACTA